GAGGGTCATGTGGGTGTTACTGGAGTAGTCTTGAGGTTTTATCTATGTAACTGAGCTAGATAATTATTTTACTTTGCTTAAAATTTACTTCCAATACTCCTTGCCTCACTCTGATCTGGTAATGAAGATGAGAAGGTAGGGTTCTTCTGAGCAATTTCTCATTTGTTGTGCTTTATAACCTCGTTGTCAGGTGAGTCCTTTCCTTGTGCATGTGCATTGAGTTTGGTGAGTCCCAAAAGCATGGATTTTACTGCGCCTGGGCAGAGTGCTGCGGCATGTGTACTGGAGATCTTGTGCTTCCCAGGAATGCTGAATTTATCATGTATTTAATGCACAGCATGCCAGTGCACATTTCCATATGGTAAATCCATGCTCTCTACTGTATCTGAAGGTAAAAACATCTGGATGCAGATGGGTGCCACCAGAACAACTCATGCAGTCCATTCCTTACCATATTTCACAAGTGTTTTGCAGAAGTAGGCAAAAAGACTCTTGTGGGGATGGAGCCCACTTGTAGCTACCTCCTTCCCAAAGAGCTGTCTGGTCCTTCCCTCCTCCTGTCACCGCGTGTGCCTTCACTGCAATATCAGTTCTGTGTTTGGGACAGAAGACAGGCAGGGGCCAGGGCAGGATACCTCTGGGCAAGATGGTGACCAAATATGGGTTGTTGCCCTGAGTTTGCTCTTTGCTTGTGTCTGAGAAGCTCTTGAAAACAGGGTGACTGGATGGAAGCTGTTAACAAGATAAAATCATCCTGGAGGGTTTGCTGTAACCTGTGGGCTGTTGGTTAGAAGTCCTTTTTTTTTTTTTTTTAATAGGAGTCTTTCTCTCTGTGCATGTTTATGCAGAATAATTCCTTTTCTGGCAAGAATTGCTTGTTGTACCTTTTGCTACACTATTGCCTGTTGTTTGATTTCTTTTTCACTCATATTTGACCTTTTTCCTAGTGTTTGAATTACTGCTGTTTTTTCTTGGTTCAGTTGATACTTGTCTCTATTTTAGATCTGATGTGTATAGTTTTTATTTTTTCCTCCTCCTGTTTTCAGTTGTTGTAGCTCTTTTCTGTTACATCAAAAGTCAACAGTTTGATTAAGTTCCAACTGTTGTAGCATATGTAGTCTGGCTTCATTATCTCCTCCTGCCTTAAACTGTAATCTCTAAAAAAATTTACCAACAAGCATGCCAAATATGCATGAGGGGTTGAGTGATGTAGATCTGTGGGTGTTATTTTGATACACTTGAACATACCCCTCTGATTTTTAGAGATTAGTTAATACAGCTTGTGTGACTCTGTACTGACGCTGACAGGTCAGGTGCCTGTATGTGACTTGTCACCGTAAGCGCCTTAGCCAGTCAGTGGGAGATCTTGGTGTAATCACAAGCATTTTTAAGCAGGAGCCATCTCATTTCACATGCATACCTGCTCTAGAGAGATGAATTATGCTGACAACTCCCCTGAATATTGACTATATATGAGTATGCATGTCTGCACAGACATAGATGCTATGTTGAGTCTAAAGGGAGTGGCTAGCTTGTGTGACTACATGGGCTGTGCATATAAAGTTAGGTAAGAGCATTCCAATCCAAGCATTCAAAATTTTAGTTAAAGCTTTGTTAATCCTCTGCTAGGTCCAGATGACACAGGAGGCAGTCTTTGCCTGCTATCCCTGCTCAGAACCTTCACACTGATTTTGCTGCCACTAAAGACTCTGCATTGCTTCAAGTCTGGTCTATGAGTCTTAAGATCAGCTGCTTGTCTTTATTTTTCTGTGAATTACATTATGGTTCTGGGTTGAAACTACAAGTACTATACTAGATAGGACACAGTGGGCCCTTAGTGTCCAAGGACATAGTATGTGGCTCATAATTCTTTTTGTATGAAGGGACAAAAAATATCAGAAGGGAGATGAGCTGCACTGATTCTACAGTTTTGAATTAGTGCTGCAAAAAATCAATTAAATAATTGTTTAAAAGAGGCAGAAACAAAATGGAAAGATGTTCCTCCAAGTCTTTCTCTTCCACTCTCCCTTTTCTTTTAGTCCAGATGGGTTCACTGACAATATTTATAGAACAGTTCAGAAACAGATGCAGTGCTGTAGCTGAAGGGGCAGTATGTTGTAGCAAGAAATGGGAGTAAGACTGAATGTGGAAAGGAGTGTCTCAGGCCAGCCTTGCTTCTACAGGGAATGTTTTATGTGAAACTAGGCTGTGGACAGTGTACAGATACTGCTGAACTAGTTATTAACACTCAGGAAAAGCATCTGAGATTTCCTAGGCTCAAAGAAGAATGTAGTAGACTTCAGAAACTGTTAAGAGATGTGTGACAAGAATGAGCAAAGATAAAGATATGGAAGTACTTCACAGCACAGAGTAGAATTCTTCTGCCTGAAAAGAGGTGACCAGACAGAAGCATGGAAAATACAAATAGGGCGTTGAGGTTTGTTTTCTCTTCGTCCATGAGAATTAGATGGCATCAAATAGATCTAGCAATTGCGAAGTTCAAAACAAAACAAATACTCTTTTTTTTTTGTGGTGAATCATTAACCCTTGAGAAACATTGCTGTGAGATGATGTAGGTATAAAAATTCCTGGTTCAGACACATTCATGAAGGAAGAAATATGCTAGGATCTTAAGGGTCTGAGAGAGTAACTTGGAGGTATTGGTATATTCTTGCCCTATTCTAATGCTTTTCCCTATGAGGGTAAGCCCTGTTGGGCAGGTGAAACTGTGGTCTGACCCAGCACAGCCACTGTTTTATTCAGTGAAAAAAATAGCTGCTGGCAATTGCATGTTGTTCTGATATCTACACTAATACAGCTCTTCAAACTAATATTTTAAGTTGGTAGTACAGCTGCAGTCTGGTCATTAAGCTTTGTCAATATTTGGTTTAGTAAACAATTTTTACATTTGGCTACGTTTGGTTTTATGTGCCTTGGAGAATTCTGCTGATTGATTGAAATGATTGATACTTACAGGAACAAGTCTAAATTCATGATGGAATAGCAATGAAGCATTCTAGATAACTGCTTTTGTGCTGCTGCTTCATGTTTCTTCAACTTGTGTGAAGATTAATTTGAGGCTAAGACTTCCTTTTTAATTTCTTCTAAGTAGCAGATGGACCTTTTCATGAGATTGCTTCTCCTACTGTGCATGCATGTGTGTGTATTAGTAGACAAATCTCTAAAAACTTAGTTTCCTGGCAAATTGCATGTTTAGAGGTTCATGCTGGTTGTTGAATAACATGATAATACTGATAGTCTCATCCTGTCTTGGGTTAAGAATCAGTGTAGTGATCTATGTTAAACATGGAGTGTTTTGGCTCACTTCACGGAGTTGTGTATGTCTTTTGTACATACACAACTGTTTTCTTGCTGCTTCCCCTTTCTCATATGCTTGCTAAGGTCCCACTGGCAATTAGGGAAGTTTGCAGCTGGATAAGCTAGAAACTGCAGAGGGATTTTTTTAAGATCCTATCCTTGTATCTACCAGTTTAGAAAGAGGCAAATTTTTTTAAGAGGTTGAATTGTTTGGATTTTGTCTTTCCTATTCATTCTTTTTCAGTGCGGTTGGAAGCTGGTTGCATGGAGGGGGTGGTGGTATGTATGTGTTTAGGATTTTTTTAAAATTAATTTTATAGAAATGAATTGCAAACCTGAACTCCAAAATAAAATAATACATTTGCAGGGTGTGCTCTGATAGCATAATCAGGCTTCTCTTAACGAATGCTGCCACATGTATGGAACAGTAAAGATTTTTTTTTTTTGGTCATAAAATAAATAAAACTTAGTATTTGGTTACATTAATTACGCACAATTCCTTACCTTCGGTTTTATATAACTGAGGAGATTGGAATACTGGATTTTAGTGCTATGAAAGGAAGCCATACTTGTCTTCCTTAAGCATGAAGCAGGCTGAAGAAGGATCTCACACAACCTTCTTGCTTTTTTAGAGCAGTTTTAAAGCATTTCCATAGTTACTTTGTTTGCTTTGTCCTCATTGCTTCATTTTACCTGTATCTGGAGTTTTAAAAATTGTGGGTCTGCACAGCTCTGATAGGGTTTTGTAGTCAGAACTGTAGGGTAGAGTATCTGTATGGGAAGCAGCTATAGGCTTTACCATTGCATGTCTCTGCATTCCTTTCAGCTGATGTATATCTGCCATTAACTCTTTCTGATGCTGTGATTGCACTTTTATGTTGACTGGCAAAATTCATTTAGTGCCCTTTGTCATCAAGCTACTGAGGCACATTTTCTATCCCCTTTTATATGACAAAAGACAAACGTTTTTGACACTTGTATGCTTTCTGTCCTCCTCCCATTCATAATAATGACTGCGTGTTACACCTGCGTATCAGTGATTATAAAAATAACTCCTGGCTACTTATATTTCTGAGTGCAGTTTGAAGCTGTGACTCAGCTTCATATACTGTGGTTCAGGTGACTTACTGACTCCCAAATGCTTTAAGACCAACTCCTGTGTATTATTTTTATTTAGAAAGAATTCCTCATTGCCTTCTGTCTTCCTTAACTATGTACAATGTTTCTGAATGATTGGTACACTACTTTGGCCTTTATAAATACTGAGATGTTCACTATGCAATATAAATTCATTTTTTAACCCAAAGTGTTTCTACTCATTAGTTTTCTGGGAATATAGGTTGGTCATTCTGAATGGAGTCATAGTGTTTGTTTTATCAACATAATTTTGAAACTGGATAAATACTGCAAGTAGAGTTTTGAGGAATTACAGTAATTTCAATTTGAACCTGTGTTTATACAATTATAATACCATAAAACAATGCATATAGTTCTGTTCTTTAACAATATTTGTTCTGTCTCCACCCTGAGAGAAGGTGTATAGATTTCTGAATTTGTACACATGTATAATTATGCAAAATAAATGTTCAGTTATAAAATGATATTCTGAAAAGAATAAGTCATTTGCCTTTAATAAAATACTTTTTAAGAGTCTCTGATAAGTATTCTTTTTTTCTTGACAGTCTGTGGTGGACGACTGGATTGAATCATATAAACAAGACAGGGACATAGCACTTCTGGATTTAATCAACTTCTTTATCCAGTGTTCAGGATGTCGAGGTACAGAACGTTGGAAACAAGTTGTATAGAATAAATCTGACAGTCATACGAACATGTGTATTAGTGCAAATGCTGGTAAAGATGTGGGAGGCACATGGATTGCTACTCCTCGTTTGCATGGTTTATATAGAAATATTGTCTACATTCAGGAATAATTTTATTTAAAAATTGTTTGTCAAGGGCCTACCCTTTCTTTTTCTCACTTTCCTGTCATCATCCTAAAGCGTACAAATCCTCACAGAGACACTCAACTCGTCAGCAAAAGGAGACAAAAGATCTGTTAATCAAGGTAGGCGTATCTTTACTTCCTCTTTCTGTTTCTTCCCGTTTTTTTTAATTACAAGAATTAGTAGATATAGCTATACCTTAACTTTGCAATGTTTTCTTTTTTTCTAGGAAAATGGTGGGGTTTTTTAAACTGAAGAGGAAGGAGTCAGGCTTCAGTTGACTTTGATTAGCAAGAAAGCTTTCTTCTGGATGAAGCACCAATCTTATTTCTTCCTCTGTAATACTTTATCAAGTCAGCAGCAAGTGGGCTGCCTTTTATACCTATTTAGGCAGTCTCCATTACCAGGCATGCAGCAGTCAGTCTTTCAAGCACTCTATTGCCACGCTGTACCTTCTAATGAATTTTTCATGTGTAGTCTTTTTTCAGTTAACTCAGCCTTGAAAAGAGACACAGACAGAGCTCTATTCTCTCTGTAGTGCCGAGAACCAAACTATTTACTGTTTCCCGATGCTTCCGATAATTTGCTTTGAGTAGAATTGAAAATAACCCACAATTCAGAAATCTTTTTCTTCATTTTCTAACTGATGTGGCAATCTACCTTTAGACATCAAATGATCTGCGTAGAAGTCCCTTTTCTTCCTTCTTAAGTATAAGGTGAAGTCCCAAGTACAGTTAAAATGAGCTGTCAGCAGCTTCAGCAACACTTTTTCATAGCTTAAGGACATAAACTTATTTTGTGGATGATAGGAAAGGCTGAAGCTCTGGAAGCATTCTGTGAGAGGGCTGAAGCTTGGGGTTTAGATTACCAGCCCGTGTCAATGTCTGTACTGTTCACACAGATTCCCTAAAATATTTTTCAGACTTGTTTGGCAGCTTATATGAAAGTAGTTGTATTCTGTTTGGGTTTTTTTAACACTTCCCTAAAGGTATGTATGGAAAAAAACCCCCCACAAGCTTCTAAGAATTTGGGCAGCATTAAACCAAAGGGATCCTTGGCCATATGTTTTTATTCTTGTTGATGCAAGCTTTTGGTAGAGGCATGTCACAAATATATCTTGATTCCCCTGCTGCTCTCTAATTTCTACTTCTTTCTTTCTCCTTGTTAGAGAAAGCAGCACTCTTACAATCTCAGAAGATTCATATTTTTTAAACTGATGCAGGCTGAATGCCCACTGTCAACCATATGCTGCAAAAGCAATTGCTTCCCAGAAAAGCTTTCTGTTATTGGCTGTGAAGCAGCAGCGCTTCAAGTGGCTGATGTAATTTACTTTCCTCTTTTAATTTTTTTTTTTTAATGGTGAGTTTCTATCCATTTTCAGTACTCTGCTTTGTACCCTCAGGGATATCTCTCTGCTGAATTTACTTTAGTGGCCTTCTGGTCCCAAAGAGCAGTGATAGGAGAAAGGAAGCAAAAATGGCTTGTCCTCTGAGTTTATAGTGTGTTTGGGGGATTTATTTCTGTGTTGGAATTTTTGCAGTGGGTGCAGTAACAGCTGTAAACAGGGTTAAAATCCTAACAAACAGTTCTGTTCTTTCCAGTGTCCAGTAACATGCCTGTTTTCTAGAATAAGTAAAAGCTTTATCAGCAGAGTTTTTACCCCACTTAGGGTAAAATGCGTACTAAGCTGTCCTTAATGGACATGAAGTCTGGAAATATGGAGATTTTCTGTATTTTGTGAGGAAGACCAAGTTTCTTTTTCATGGGAAGATTATATGCTCTATTATGACATTTTTATTTCCCTTTAAAGATTTTATTGACATTCTTGTTTGTTTCCATTTCTGATAAATAACAACTCCTGTGAATCTCAGTGGCTGCTGTATCTTCCTTAATATTCCTTAATTTTCTTCTTTTCAGTTTGCTCCACTAACATTGTCTCGGATTCTCCAGCCTTCTTTCCCAGTGTTGGATCTAAATGCTTACTGATAATATATCTAACTTTGTGATCATTAACTTGAAGGGAAGAGGACAACTAACTTGGGAGAAGGTTCCTCGGGAAACTTTGAAAGTGTTGCTAGGTTTATAAATCTACCATTTTCATAGTGCTTAGAACTATTTGATATCTAAATATATGTGAAATGTACTTAGCGTGACATTTCTTTCAAAAGTTTTAAGCAGATGAAGAGTGTGTGCCTATTTTCAGACTTTAATTACAAATCTTTTAGGCACCAAACTGTTTTATTTAGCAACAGTATTGACCCTGACAAAAATATCTTTCTGTGTAGAGAAACATTGATTTTTATATATTTATCCCATTTTCTTGGTTAGCACATATGCTTGAATGAACCTCTTAGCATCCTCCAGCTTTGCTTAGAGAAGTTCCTGAAATGAGAAAGGATCTATTGAAAATATGAATAAGCAGGCATGCTATGTAAACAATTAATACTAAAAAAATGTAAAATGAATGTATTTTGCAGATGAACTTAAAAGATCTGTGCAACTTAAAATTTAATAAATATAAACCAAATATTGAAGCATGTCTGTCCTTTGTCAACTCTTCTGTGTATCTATTTAATCAGTTACTTTTTACATTATGTGTCCTGGTTCATACAGTAGTGTCCATTTAAACATGAGAGGTTTGTTTTTAATATGACTTCAGTAATCTTTCTGACTTTTTAAAGGATCATTTGATATAAATTAGAAGTTTGTCCTATTGAACTACCAAAACCATCTCAATTCAATAATTAGATTTGCCCAGGAGTTACATCACTTTTCATGCCATCTTTCCACTAGTTTGCTCAAGCTGTACATTTGTTGCCTTTGCTGATTTTGATTACAAAGAACTGAAAATAGTTTCTTAAAGAATTTTTCCTTTATATTTTATTTTCTTCAAGAATACCAACAAAAATCTCTGCCTTTCACTGTTTGTTGGTGTGGTCTTCTCTGTGATGTTACATTGTATTTCTGTGGCACAAAAATGGTTAACAAGGACTGCTGAATTCACCTGTTCACTTTGTTTCCTACCCTTTTAAAACGTATTACTTCTTGTAGAGGGAGGATCTTGTATCAGATAGTACCTTAGGAAGATGAAAAAGTTAATTTTAAAATACTTTTTCTTCCTGGAAAAACAGCAAATAAATGCTGTTTACAGTCCTTGAAAAAAATGGTTTGTTTGGTAGTAGGTATTTATTTTCCACAGTATTGACAATCTGTAAAGCAGGAGGTGTTGTATTTACCTTCTTACTTCTCTGTCAGAAACTTAATTTATGGCTTTGCATTTTTAGAGAACAGGGTACTTTTTGCATTTAGGTTGTCTTATTTTCAAATAACTTTCACTTGGCTGGGGGTTGGAAGTATATCCGTACTACTGAGATTTCCATTTCAAATGTTGTGGTTTGGTCCGTGGCATTGTGGATACAGGCATCCTCCACTCTTGCAGAAGAGTTGCAGATCAGTGTTCAGACATTTGTGGTGTTTTTTGAGAGCTCTTTTCCATTGTTTACTGCTTTGTAGGAGCATATTTTTGCCTTTTTTTTTTATTATTTGTTTTGAACACTTACATAAAGCACAGTGTAGTATGCTGAGATCGCTGAGCTAGTAGCAAGCAAGCTGAAATGTCTAATCAGCAATCTGCATGCCCAGGTCCCAGAAGGATTATAACTGTGTCAGTATGATGCTGCATCTGGGCTAATTAGCTCTGCCTCTCAGACTGAGTAATTAGCTCAGGTATCATGCTCCGCTGCTATGACAACCAGGCTGTTGTCATTTCTGGAGCTCCATGGATTTAGAGCTGACTTGAGTATCTGCATCGCTGTCTGCTTTTGCCTTCTGTTACTGATATAAAACAAACAGAAAACCCCACAAGCACTCTGACCTTTCTACATTTTAAAGGCAGAGAGCCATGCTTGTGAAATAATTTTTTTTTTTTCCTAACCAGAAGCAATTAGTGGTTGAAACAGCCTCTTCAGCTGTAAAGGACAAACCAACCCATCAAGTCCATGTAAGAAAAGAAGCTTGCTTTTGCAGGGATAAAGGTCTCTCACACAGTTGAAGAGAACTACTTGACTGCCTTCAAGTATATAGTGAAATTATTCCTGTTCTTTCTCTCCCATCCCTTTCCTTCCCTCTCATTTCTTTTCTGATAGGTAAGCCAGAAACCTGTTAATTCTTAAGCAGATTTTCAGAAGTGGTTTGAGCACTGCTTCCACTGCTAACCTTACCTCTGTCAGACAGCTCCGAGACACCAGTTACTGACAAAACAAAACTAGTGGAACTCCCTGACTGTTAAATTCTTAGCAGCGTTGTAGCCTTCTCTGGATTGTAAGGAGCTCTCCATTGAAGTAGTTTTGTGATTTGGCATGCTGAAATTGGTTTTAGGAGTAGTTGGTGAAGGAAGCAGGTGAATATCCTTTATATGATGTATCTCCTATCTTGTTTTTCCTCTGAAAATCTTCTCTTTAGGTTCTTGTGTGGAATCAGATGTTAGTGAATGTTCAAACTGCCATCTGTCAACCTTGACTGCTAGTCTTGTTTAGGGTTGAGGTGTTTTTCAGTTGTAAGTAAGCAGGAATCTGCATATGAACGTTTGCCCAGGGACATCTTAATGGAATTTTCCTTGTGAATCAGACACTTGGGGATCTACACTGTCCTCCAGCTTGAGCCTTGAATCTCTAGTTGTTCCTTACCTAGTCTTTTAAGATCTTCTGAAAAATTCTGTGATTGAATGGTTCAAACTGAGTGTGAGTTAGCTTCCTTGCATGCAGGATGCATGCTCATTTTGATTTTTATTATTTGATTTTATTTTGTTCTATGCTCTTAATTAAGGGCAAGCTA